CTGGGTTCAATTCCTCAGCACCACATAAGCAAAAAGAAAAAAGGCAGAAGTGACACTGTGGCTCAAGTGGTAGAGCACTAGCCTTGAGCTGAAGAGCTGAGGGACAGCATCCAGGCCCAGAGTTCAGGCCCCACGATCGGACAAAAAAGAGAGAAAGAAAGAGAGAAAGAAAGAAGGAAAGAAAGAAGGAAGGAAGGAAAGAAAGAAAGAGAGACAGAGAGACAGAAAGAGAGAAAGAAAAGAAAGATTGCCAGGGGACCACTTGGCTATGAAAAGTTTAAGCCAGCTTCCCCAGCCTAGTCTAGAAAGTACAAAAACCACTCTGGATAAGGACCACCACTTAAGCTTCTTGCTCCCATGTCCTATGGGGGAAGAGACAGGGTCCTTTCCCCCACTTCCTATAGTGTTGTGTTTTTCCATGCTTTTGAAGTACGAAGACTGGGTCTAAGCAATATTCCTTGAAGAAATATGCCTTGTTGTTACAGCCATCTCGATGCTTTGCTGGGTGAAGGCTGCTTTCCACACAGCTCTAAAAAGCTGTAGAGGTAATATAGTATATTCTTTGGATTACAAAGTGTCCAGAGTAGTTAAGCTCCAGAAAAGTTTTACTTACCTTAGATAATTGGCCCTTGATTTCCCCTGATGGTTTCCTTGATGGTTTGCTTTGCTTATATTTAACACCTTTATTAGGTTTAAGTGTCCTCATTTGGTTTTCTTTGCTTATATATAACATTTGTTAAGATAAATTTCTCATACCTTATAGCTGCATTTGCCACTTCTGGTCTTTGAGACAAAAGTCTACCAGCACTCCACGACTCTCCAATGAAGACTCCCAGTTTGGACTTTTAAGTGGTGGCTCCCAGTTTGGACTTTTAAGTGGTGGCTTCTCTTTTTCTCATGACTGAGTTCCCTTACAACACTTCATTAAGTAAACCTTTTGTAAATTTCCAAAACTAAAAGAAAGCCAACAGCCTCAGGGAATTCACACACACACACACACACACACACACACACACACACACACACGTATTTCATCATTTCATCACAGGACCCCCTCAGTGCAGCCTTCTCAGCAGTTACCAGCAGTCAACCACATTTCTTTGGATTGAACAGTCAGTTCTAAAAACTAAAGGATTTCTCAGAAGGTCAGGGTTGTGGACACATTGCTCAAAACAAACAGTGGAATGTAGAAATAAAAGGAAAGGTGGGTGGATTTAGTAGGAATCTGTAATGTATATGCTAGCCTACCAGAACTTCCAAGCTGAACTGTATGTACTGCTAGGGAGGGAATAAAATAAAAGAAGCTACTTCAATGTGAAGCCTGGGATGTCACTTTTCTGCCCCGCCCCGCCCCCCCCCTCCCCCATGCCAGACCAAACCTGAAAGTCCATTCAGAGTGTCATAGAAAGCAGCTGAAGAAGTCAGGGTTGGGGAAACCCAAATGCTCCTGCCACTCAGCCCAAATCTTGGAATTCCCAGCAACAGACCCTCGAGGTGATGTGATTTTATAGGACACGTCTTTTCCAGGAAATGGAAAAAGTTAACCACCCCACCCACTTAACCGAAATCTTGGCAGCCAAATGATCCTCCACATTGATGCCAAAGAAGACATGTGATAAGTGTTTTTAAACTGTAGCCTGCCCAAAAAGGACCGACTCAGAAAAACAAAAAGGAAAGAAAAGAAAAAAAGGACAATGGAAAAACTCTTTGGCAAACCTGAGGGTCTAGAGCTTTAAGTTCCACAGCCAAGTTCTGTTCAAGCTAAAAGCAGACAGACCTAGGCCAACTGGGCTCAATCAGTTCATTTAGATAGCCAGCCATTCCACAGTGGACATATGGTAGGGTAAACACAAGCTTTCTCAAAAGTTATGACTAAATAAACTCTAAGAATAAGGTAGGAAGGAAAAGAGAATCTAGAAATTTCTGTACCTTTTTTTTTTTGGTGGTGGTGATATTGAGGTTTGAACTCAAAGCTTCACACTTCATGTTAGTTATATTGCTCTATGTTTCGTTTTGCATAATAAAAATTAAAAATAAGCCGGCACCAGTGGCCCATGCCTATAATCCTTGGTACTCAGGAGGCTGAGATCTGAGGATCATGGTTCAAAGCCAGCACAGGCAGGAAAGTCCATAAGACGCCAATAACCTACTCAGAAAACAAACAAACAAACACAAACAAAAAAACAAAAGTGGTGCTATGCCTCAAATGGGAGAGCACTAGCCTTAAGCACAAAGACTCTCAGAAATTCAAGACCCACAACTGGTAAAAATTTCTTTTAGATATATTGTGTCTCTGGGAGGTATGGGGTAATGTGTGTGTGTGTGTGTATGTATGTGTGTGTGTTAAGAAAGAAAGAGAGAGAATGCATTAGGACTTGAACTCAGGGCACTGACCTTTAGTTATTTTACTCAAGGTTGGCAGTCTCATCACCCAAGCCACAGCTCCACTTCTATGTCTTCACTGAGACAGCCTCTTCTTGTCATGCGCTTTGGAAGACCCATGGCCACTGTGGTGAATCTTTAGGCACTGCACTGACACAGATTCTTCTTTAACAAGCAATCTTTGGTGGGAAAAAAAAGAGAGAGCATCAGCTTGGGCTAAGTAACTCAGTTTGGGACACCTGTGAGTTGTGCTTTTAGGACTGTTTTTTTCTTGTTTTGTTTTTTCAGCTTTTTTTTATCATTATCTTTAAGTAGTTGTACAAAGGAATTGCCATTTAACAAAGCAGTTTATGAATATAATAAGCATTTGTAGCTAGAGTGAATAGATTCTCTACCAACTGCTACAGGGTGCTACAAGGAGCATAAGACCACTCTAGTGCCCCACACTTGGTTACACAGACATTCAGTAAGGCCACAGCTGTTGTCTTGGGGGAGAATGCAAGAAGCAGTGAGGGTACTGAATTAAGTGCAGAAAGAAGGCAGGAAGAACCCTTTGCCCCTCACTGGAGGTTTTTCCCAGGGTGGACTCTTTCAAGAACAATGATGGGAATCCCCTTCCACTCTGGTCTGCTTCCTCCAGGTGCTCTTCCCCACACCCTCCATCTTCTTTCCTCAACAGCTCCCACACAGGAGTCAGTGCCACACCCAGAAGCTGGAGGTACCAGTTGTAAGGTCCGCTCCTGGAGGGCCAGCAGACTCCACTCAGTACCTGCGTTACCTAGGCAACTGGGACACCTGGAAGAGGTCACATCTGAATTTGATGTGGCCACACCTTTCTCCACCCATACCCTAGATAAGGCCTAGCCCAGGCCCAGACTCTGTTCTTTTCTAGCTCTCCCTGCTCTCAGCTCTCGGCTCTCTCACTGCTCTTTTCTAGCTCTCTCTGCTCTTTTCTAGCTCTTTTCTCTCTCTTTGTTAGGCCTTTCCCAGCCACGTGGAGTGCCAACCTTGCCTGGTCCCAGCAGGTCTACTGAATAAACCTACCCCTTACCTGAATACCACGTGCGTGCTGCTGTTCTTACTCAGCTACCTCTTTTTAAAAACCTAACACCAGTAAACTAGGATTAGGAGCATGGAGGGATACAAAGGACATGCAGATGAAGACGCTTACTGCAAGTTGGGCGCTGGTGACTCACACCTGTAATCCTAGCTACTCAGGAGGCTGAAATCTGAGGATCGTGGTTCAAAGCCAGCCCAAGCAGAAAAAGTCTTGTGAGACTCTTATCTCCAATAAACCACCAGAAAACTGGAAGTGGCACTGTGGCTCAAGTGGTAGAGCTCTTGCCTTGAGCTAAAGAGCTGAGGGATAGTGCCCAGACCCAGAGTTCAAGCCCCATGACCGACCAAAAAGAAAAAGAAAAAAAAAACCTCACTCCAGATTCCCTTCAGCAATACCCAAGAGAAAGGACCATGAGGTTATAGTGTGCTGCCACTGAAATGTAACTTCTAACAGCCTAAGTGATTCAAGAAGCTCTTGTGATGGGTATCTCTGCTAGACAAAACAGTCGAAATCATTGAATGGATACATAGTTACATGGTGGCTGAAAAAAGAAACTTTCACAGGAACAAAGTTATACCACTTTAATAATTTAAATAGAACCAACTTCAGGAACACACATACAGATACATAAAATTCAAATAAACAACATAATTGAACAATACATTTAAATGCATCAAAGTTTTTAAAATGCCCCAAGTGGACTCAGTGCCATGGATGTGGGAAGGAAAACTAGAAGTACTACAGACCAGAGAAAAACAGATACAATCATTACTTTGCATTTATCACCAAGACTGTAGACATATCAGACATTTAGAATACTTCTGGAAAATGGATGAACAGAGGAATGTAAATAATCTCAGGATGATTAATTTATAGATAATTTCTTTGGTCCTTCAAGTCTCATATTTATTTTTACTTTTAAAAAGCAAACATGAATTAAAATGTAGAATTCTACCTAGAAATGGCTAAATATTAAGCAGGCTAATATTTTTACAAGGTTAGATTTAAATGAAAACTCAAAATCCACTAGCACTGTACTTTAGAAACTCCAAATATAGAAAAGGCCAGAGAAGTGGTAGAGATGAAACAAAACCAAACACCTCTGCCATCTTGCTCCATCATAAGCTTAATGGTATCTAAGTGGCAGAGATAAATTTGAAGAGCACTCTGTCAATCAAATGAGAGACTTCTTTATTCAACAATCTTCTTTGTGTGTTTGTAAGGGAGTTTAAGAGTATTTTGTTTTAATTTGGCCCACACTGCCCCAGTGGAGGAAATTTTAAGATAAATATTAATAAGGCAAAAGTTACTGGACTGCAATATCTATACGACCTGAACAAACTTACACTGAACACTACCATCCACAGGAAGCAGAAGGGAAACAAGACCAGAGCTCCCCAGAGCCTCTGGCACAAAGCAATGTGCACAGCTCCAATGCCAGCGACTATGTGTTCACTCTGAGCATTTCAGATCCATGTAAGCTAGAGTTCAGTTCTACAGACCCTGGAGGGGTGGATACTCTCAAGAGCCTCTGAAAATATTTTTTTTTTTAAAAACTATTTCATAGGATTAAAATGAAACCTGCTTTAAGGCCTCTATGTGGATCACACAAAGTAAATTCCCAAGGGACTTCTAAAGTGGAAACAATAAGAACTAGTTACTTGCAATTCAGTACCAAGCCTTAAAATAATGGCTTTCTTTTAAAAAACAAGGAAAAAAGTACATGGTGAATGGTGTGATATTCTCATCAAGGCACAGAGAATTAAAGGTCTCAATCCCCGTAGAATAACATGAGAATAAACTCGTAAACAACTTCAGGGACTCTTTCTCTCTAATCAAATTTTAAAAGGATAGCAGGTAGAAATGTGCCTTTTTAACTTACAATAAGGTTTAAAAAAAACCACATACCGATATTCTATCACCTTCCCTCAGAGACTAATATTACAAGGGAATGATTAATAAAAATATTAAAAAATAAAATGCCACTGGAGGTTTCATCAACACAGTGAAAGCGGAGCCTATGGGACTTTGTATTCATGGAGCAATACACCACCTACACATACATTACTTAAGCTCTTCGGATGTGGTACTATTTCTGTGGGAAGAGGAAAAACCAGCATGGCGGCCCACAGTTCACACCCACACCCAATGCTCCCATGCTGATCACTCAGATTATTAAACAATATCAACCATGGATTCACCTCTTTGCCTGCACCTTTAGGGTTATCTGAATGACAGTGGTTTGTGCACAGAACTTATTATTGGCAGTTTAACATTGCCACTAAAAGGTGGCAAGAAGAATGTAGAGGGCTCACCCCTTTGATAATTATTTTTATTTAATTTTCTATAAATAATTTTTAAGTACAATCAGTGACAAGTAAAGTTCACATTGACAGCAGTTGAAAATGGAATGTAGACAATGAAGACAGATAGGGCAGATAGCACAACCCACTGCATAGAGACGTTCAGGTCCTGATTAGGGTTAGAAACTCCTCCCGAGTCTTTGGGTCTTCCCGGAACACACCCAGCATCGTGCTGGTCACAGTTTTGCTGTTCATCTTCTGCACCCCCCGCATTACCATACACATGTGCCTACAAGACAAGACAACCAAGGCTTAAGTAGCTTGGATTTTAAAAGGTGAAGCAAAGCTCAAAGATTCATAATATCAGTTCACAGTACCAAGGGAAACTTTTTATGAAACTTTTTAAAAAGTCTTTCAGCTTTTCTAATTAGGAATAGTTAAGGCCTTGCTATATCCAACAAGAGAAGAATAATGGAGTTTTCTTCCTAGGTGAGAATAACAGAAAGAGTCTAATATAGATATATGAGTTCTAGATCATAGGATATTCAGAATTCTCACTTGATCCATTTTCAGATCTTAGATGGCACCATGTTAGCTTAGGCACTCAGAGAAACAATCAAGTATGCTGGTCATTCCAGGCCTAATCCAGGTAATGGCACCAGTGGGTCTCAGCAACCTGGTGAAGCCAAACAACCTACCCAGAGCTCATGGTACTGTACACATAGAATGGAAGACAGCTGCCCCTCCCCTGACTTGGTGTAATTCTCATAATCCATTATAACCCAAAGAAGAATCTGCAGCTGGACCTCTTTATGTAGAGTGAAATAAGCAACACACAATCTCACTCATATGTAAATAAAAAAAATTGACCTCATGTAAGTTGAGAGTAAAATGGGGGTTTCCAGTGCTGTGGAGTGCAGGAGATAGAGGAATGAGGAGTTTGGTCAATGGGCACTGAGTTTCAATGAGATAGAACAAGTTTCAGTGTGCTACTGCAGAGTAGGTATATAGAGAAAGATGATGTGCTACCTATTTCAATAAGCTAGAAGAAAGGAGTTGGAATTTTTTCCCATAAAAATTACAAATGTTGGTGGACATTACGCAACATGTATGTATCAGACTATCACAGGATACCCACCCAATACATACAGATGACTTTTACATGTTTATGTACCCATTAAAATCTAAACTTTAAACATTAAAACAAACTTTTCTCTTTATTTTTTTTAATTTATTTATTTTTTGGGTCCGGTCGTGGGCCTGAACTCTGGGCCTGGGCGCTGTCCCTCAGCTCTTCAGCTCAAGGCTAGAGCTCTACCACTTGAGCCACAGCGCCACTTCCGGCTTTTTTCTTTTTGCTTATGTGGTGCTGGGGAATCGAACCCAGGGCCTCAGGCATGCAAGGCAAGCGCTCTACCACTGAGCCACCTTCCCAGCCCAAACTTTTCTCTTTAAAAAGAAGTCTTTTAGTTGCCCCTTCTATAAATTCTTAGGTTTCTCTATTTTGAAAATGTGTGACAGATATTACAAAAACTAGAAGAAGGAGTTAGGGAGGAAGGAAGGGACAGAGGGAGGGAAGGAGGAAAAGGAAGAGCAAGGAGGAAGGGAGATAGGGATGAAAGAAGGTAGGGAGGGAGAAAGGGAAGGAAGACAGGCAAGGAAAGAGCGAAGGAGGGAAGAAGGAAGGACAGAAAGCATTAGAAAAGCTGCTTGGACCAAGAAAAAGCTAATGAAGAAAGACACGACATAAAATGCTATGTATACAAATCTCTGCAGCTAAGTTTACGACTTCCTGCCGCTCCACAATGCTCACCAAAACCCTGTTTCTGTGCCTGGATTCCTCTATCAGCATTACAGTGGATGCAAGAGGGATAAAGACTCTTTCAGGCTCAGAGAGGAGAGCATTAGTAAAACCTGTGAGACATCATGGTCCTAGAGAGAGGAGGAGTGCCGCAGTCAGAACCAGTGGTTGTGCGCACTACAAGACTATCAAAGAAGGGTTTAGACTTACGTTGCTTCAACCACCACCCCAACTCCAGCAGGCTGCAAGGCTTCTGTGATGGCAACAGCGATTTGTTTTGTAAGACGCTCTTGCACTGCAGATATGATACACATCAAAGTTTAAAGCTGATACAAACAACTGAAAGCTTTTTACCCTTAGAATACTTAAAATATTTTTAATTTAATTTTATTGTAAAGGTGATGTAGAGAGGGGTCACAGAGGGGTTCGACATTTCTTGTCCAACAGTGTTATCCCCTCTTGTTTTTTTTCTACTTTCTCTCCCCTCACTCCCCTCCCCCCACAAACTGTAAAGTTCATTTCCAACATTGTATCTTGTGAGTATCACTGCTGTATTGGTTCGCCCTTTGTCCTTTGTCTCACCATTTTGTTATTTCCCTTCCATTCCCCAAATCAGATAAACACATATACAAGATACAGGGTACCAAAATAAAAACAGACAATTTTAAAAAGCAGACCTCTGTGAGGCTTAGGTGCCAAGACATACCAGCTTTTGCCAGTTTGCGTTGTTTGCTGACTAGGCCACAGGATGCTCCTGCTCAGTTCCTTCACTGACCCTGGAGTTACTAAAGAGCCCGCCCCCCAAGGCCCTCCTGGCCCTCCAGCCTTTCTATAAGGAAGGGACTGGAGTAGTAACTACCCTTACATGTGCAGTAAAACCAACAGATCCCTGGTTAATAGCATCTTAACTGAGCTGGAGTAGAACAAATAAACGATTGCAAGAGGATTAACAAAAGGGATGATTTATTAAATTATTAAGAACCAATGATTTCATATGAACAATACAATTCCTTGTGCTGACTACAACAATTTATCTTTGAATATATACAAAGGTCTTCACTGAAGCATTGCAACCATAAGACTGGCAAAAAATTTTCAAATCTCTATCAGAAAATCAAGCCATGGTACCTATAATAGAATTCTAAAGAGACTGAATGAGATAGTTACCATATATGTGGAGAGGGGAGGAAAAAAAACTGTTTTAAGAATCATTGAGTCAAGCAGGGCACTGGTGGCTCACTCCTGTAATCCTAGCCACTAAGGAGGCTGAGATCTGAGGATCGCCATTCAAAGCCAGCCTGGACAGGAAAGTCCATGAGACTCTTATCTCCAATAAACCACCAGAAAACCAGAAGTGGCACTATGGCTCAAGGTGGTAGAGTACTAGCTTTGAGCTGAAGAGCTGAGGGACAGTGCCCAGGCCCACAGTTCAAGCCCCATGACCACAAAAAAACAAAACAAAATCATTGAGTCAGGTACCAGTGGTTCACTCATGTAATCCTCACTGTTTGAGAGGTTGAGATTATGAAGACTGCAATTTGAGGCCAGCTTGGGCAGAAAAAAGTATGGAAAGTATGCCCCTTCTCAACCAAGAGCTGGTGTAGTGGTGTACTTGTCATCCAGTTACAATGGTAAGCCTACAATATGGATCAAAGTCCAGATGCCACCTGAGCAGAAAAAGAAATTCTACTTCAAAAATAACCAGCATTAAAAAAAATGGTCTGGAGACACATTCTTATCTAGATTTAACATAACTAAGCTGATTTAAAAACAGTGATATACGACAGGTGCCGGTGGCTCACGCCTGTAATCCTGGCTACTCAGGAGGCTGAGATCTGAGGATGGGTTCAAAGCCAAACTCTTATCTCCGATAAACCACCAGAAAACTGGAAGTAGCGCTGTAGCTCAAGTGGTAGAGTACTTGCCTTGAGCTGAAGAGCACAGGGACAGCACTCAGGCTCAGAGTTCAAGCTCCACGACTGACAAAAAAAAAACCCTGTAATATATGCCTGGAAGGGTAAAGGAAAATGCCAATATAATAGGGAGTTCTTTGTAGGCTTGAGACAGACTTTCTCTTCCTAGGATATTTTAATTTCTATATCATACTTATCATACTTTTATTCATTATATTTGCATTATACTTGTATACAAAATATGTTTTCCATAAGGAAAAAAACCTGTTTTCTGTAAATAAAGATTGCAAAAGCTTACCTTGTAGTCTTCTACTGTAGATTTCTACAATCCTAGAAAAGAAAGAATTTGTTGTATTAATCATGCATTGTTTGAAGTGAAATTGGAATGCTCCCTCATAAGACAAAAAGGACTTCGTTGAAGCAATAGGATGTGAACAGCAGTGGTATTGATAGGAAAAGAGGAGGAAGATACAACCCCACAGGGATACACAGTCTAAGGAGACTATCAATCACTGCACAATGGTGTCTCCAAGTGTCCCTAAGGAAAAAAACTCACAGGTTGCCACCTGTAACATTCACTTAGCAAAAACACAATTAGAGGCAGGCAACAAATTTTAAAGCTCACAAGTCATCAATTTCAGGCTAAGTCCCAAGTGTTCTAATTAATCATATTGTTTTATCACAGCTTAAAGTTCAAACTAAAAATGAGAAAAGACTATTGGTTAATTAATATCAAGTCATCTATTATACCAACTAAATCTATTAGGGTAATCCAATTAGAATGGATTAGATTTCCTCAGGCATCTCTTCACACGATTTGTTTATTAAGAGCTTGCTTAGTAGGATTGCCCTTCCTAAATAAAATCCTCCTGATCTTACAACACAACATATCCAGTAATGAATTCTCCCCTTTCTTAGTGATTAAATACAAAGATGGTGATGTGGATGACCCACATACAGAAGGCAACTCATGCTAAGGACCTTTGCTTTAAAAGCTGACCTGACAGTCATGCATTTAGACTCAGTTTGAAGACACTTTCTTTATGACACATTTTATGGCTCTTTCTTTAGTATAGTATACCCCTCAGACAGAATCAACTACAGTAGTGTCAACCAACTCAGTAACATGTATACCATCTTGTTTACCAACCTGGGGAACTCTGGGGGCAGGAGCCCATCTGATTCTTCAGGTCCACAGTAGGTAAATAGACAGAGTTAATTGTATTATTTTATTTTGAACAAAATTTGAGAGAGGGTGGCTTTCAAGCTCCTAGATAGAAGAAATGTCATATTTCTTACTGGGTCAGACTGTATGTGTTCCTGCTGATGTCTTCCCAGGTGATTAACGTTATATCAGTAGGAGATGTGGTTGATTTTACAAGAATTTCTTTCTGATGTTCAGTTTTGGTTGTTTTTTTCTGTCGGTCATGGGGCCTGAACTCTGGGCCTGGACGCTGTCCCTCAGCTCAAGGCTAGGGCTCTATCACTTGAGCCACAGTGTCACTTCTGGCTTTTTCTGTTTATGTGGTGCTGAGGAATCAAACCCAGGGCCTCATGCATTCAAGGAAAGTACTCTACCACTGAGCCACCTTCCCAGCTCCTGATGTTCACTTTTTCTGAAGTAGAATCCATGTTCTATATTAGACAGCAATTGTAACATTGGACATCCATGTATTGGTTCATACTTCAATATGAATTTCTCTAATATTTTAATAACAGGACAAGGTCCACCTACTCTGACAGAGAGCTGCTTTCATGTTAAGATCATTCCTTGGGCTAGGACACAGCTTAATAGTGGAACACTTGCCTGTGTCATTATGTGGTAGATACGTCGCCTGGTTCAAGAGCTTAGGATTTCTTAATCCTAGCTTGATTAAGTTCTAAGGAAGAAATATTTTTAAATTTATTATTAAATTATATTTACAATATAAATGTTTATTGGATGCAACAAAGAACAGAATAATTCAGAAATGTAAATAAACAGTGATTTAAAACTCAATCCCTTGCCCAGTGCCAGTGGCTCACCCCTCACTACTCAGAAGGCTGAGATCTGAGGATCACAGTTCGAAGCCAGCTGGAGCAGAAAAGTCCCCAGAAGACTCTTATCTCCAATTAACCACTCAAAAACCAGAAGGGAAGCTGTGGCTCCAAGTGGTAGAGCACTAGCCTTGGGCAAAAAGAGCTCAGGGACAGAGCCTAGGACCATGACTAACAAGAACAAAAGAGAGAGAGAGAGCCCATTGGTTTGATTCATTGTTGCTGAAGGATTTACAGCAAAAGTATTAACAATCACTAGAATAAAATATATCATTAAATTATTAAATTTATCATTTATTTTCAGCATTTATATGACTCTTTTTAGTTAAAAATAAATATTTATTTTGCCCGATTTCTTTTGGTGGGTTTTGGCTCAGGGCCTCATGCCTGGTAGGTAGACACTCCAAACATTTGAGCCACCCCTCCCAACGCTTCCAATGCTTTTTGCATTAGTTTTTTGTTGTTGTTTTTCCAGAAAAGGTCCTGCTTTTGCCCAAGACAGCCCCTAAATTCTCTTCTCCTAAGTATAGCTTATTACACAAGTGGAATTACAGTATTCCTAGCTTGCTTGCTGAGATGAGGTCGTACTTTCTTGTCCATTGCTCTCATTCTTGAAAGATAATTTGTGGAGAGGTGTTATGTTGGGAATAGAGTTCTAGTTTAACACTGATGGTTATCTGCCTTTCAATATTGTTGTTGGCAACCCAATTTTAAGTCTAACCACTGTTACCAGGAAGGTAATTGATATTTTTTCTCCATGGCTGTTTTTATGACTTTTGAGTCTGTGTACTTTGCAGTTTACTCTGCTTATTTGGGATTTATGAGGCTTCTGGAATCTGCAGACTGATATTTTGCCTATATTTTGGAGATTTTTCTAGGCATTATGTTCTCTCATACTGTATCTGCTCCATTACCTCTCATAGCTCTCAGAATTCTAATTAAGGGTACAGCAGACCCTCTTGGTCTTCCAGCTCTTAAATTCTCATTCATATGTTATGCCTGTCTCTGTGTTGCATTTTATACAGTTTCCTCTGACCTTTCCTCCAGTTCACTGTATTTTCATCTGCTGCTAATCTGCTACTTAGTGAGCATACAAGACTTTGGATTCATTCATCATACCTTTTATTTCTAGAAGCTATATTTGCTCCCTTTTCCAGTCTGCCTAGCTAACACTGGACGTTTCTTATTCCTTTGTCAAACTTTCAGTTTGTTTGTGTAGTTGTTTTTTTTTTAATTTTGTACAGGGGCTGAGGCTTGAACCCAGGTGTTGTCCCTGGGCTTTTTTTGCTTTATACTTGAGCCACAGCTCCACTTTGGGGGGTAGTTTATTGGAAATAAGAGTCCCATAGACTTTCCTGCCTAGGCTGGCTTTGAAGCGTGATCCTCAGATCTCAGCCTCCTAAGTTGCTAGGATTACAGGTATGAGCCACTGAACCCAGTGAATTTTCAGTTATGTTACATACGTGTTCCATCTTCTGTCTAACTCCAGCCTCTACCCGCTTCATCCATGTGGCTTCTTTCCTTTTTCCTTTTGGTAAGCTTGCATCCCTTGGAACTGCATTTATGGGAATTCTTTACAGCATGGATAAAAGTATACCAGAGAAAGTAGACTCATCTCTGCTAGGACCCCCATATAGGGGCCGTTTTAACTAAATGGTTGCCTTGGGCTTTTTGGAAGGCTTTAGGAACCCCAGGCTTGTGATCCGTGCCTGTGGATCAACAAGTGAACACCTCCTCTGATGCAGGGTAGGAACAGGAAGATGGAGCCCAGGCTGTCACTCCAGGGCAGCCTCTTCTTGTGGCCCTTCCCTGGAGTTGCCTTATTCTCCATCAGTGTGCGAGAGGAAGACAGGTATCAGCAATGGTGTGACAGCACAGATCATCACACTACAGCATCAGTCACTGTGAATTCTAACAGAAACAATTCATTTTGGAATAAACCTCTCTTTGTGTTTGGAAGCGGTATTTCTACTAGCCTGTTACATTTTTCTGACATTCACAATTCTCACTACTACATTTATAAACTTTTTACTACTACATTTATCATCTATAGTATTAGCTAGCTTTATCAGGCTTTGTTGTCAGGACTAGGAAGCTTCACATTATCAGGTAGCTTTTCAGTTTCTTCTATACTCTGGAATAATTATCATAACTGAAATTAGCAGTTAATTGAAAAGTCAGAAAACATGTCTAGAAAATTGATTATGACCCATTCTCTTCTCACCTCACCTTTTTTAACCTACTCATTAAGACTCATAAAAGTTTTATTTGTTGTATTTATTTTGTTTGAAGGGACTAGGGCTTGAACTCAGGGTCTTACACTCTCGATCACCTTTCTTGCTCCACGGGCAATTCTAGCACTTGAGTCATATCTCCAGTCCTCCTTTTTGCTGATTATTTTGAAGATGTAGTCTGTTGGACTTTTTCTGACCAACTTGTTCCTAACAACAATCCTTTAGAAGTCAGCCTCTTGGGTGGCTTAGGTGTTAATCATCAGTTCTCAGAACTTAAAAGGTTTTCATTATATTTCCTCTCATTCCTAGATATTAAAATGTACCATCTCAATTAGATGCAATCTGTGATATAAGACCAACTTTTTATACTTGTGATTTCTATTCTTTAGGGGTTTAAAAAATATTCTAAGGAGCCGGGCACTGGTGGTTCATGCCTGTAATCCTAGCTACTGAGGAGGCTGAGATCTGAGGATTGCGGTTCAAAGCCAGCCCGGGCAGGAAAGTCCGTGAAACTCTTATCTCCAATAAACCACCAGAAAACTGGAAGTGGCGCTGTAGGAAGTGGTAGAGTCCTCGCCTTGAGCTGAAGAGCTGAGGGACAGTGTCCAGGCCCAGAGTTCAAGCCCCATGACCGACAAAAAAAATAAATAAAAATAAATAAAAATTCTAAGGCATCTCAGCTTCATCTTAAAAGCCATGGAGAGCTGGATAGAGTGCCAGCCTAGGAAGCATGAGGCCCCAAGTTCAAACCCTAGTATTTGAAAACATAAAATTAAAAAAAAAATAGAGTGCCACAAAGAGAGTTCATGGTTAAATTCATAATGAAAAATAATATTTCAGTAGCACCCGAGAACAAATTTAAAAACTGTAAAAAGTTAGAGGAACAGAGGAGTTGGGAGGAAGACCCACCCAACACAGAGTGGCAGTAAGGGCAGCAAGCCAGCTGAATGGGCACAGAAGGGGCTGCTGTAGAAGACAGTGAGGGGCTAAGAGCAGTGATGGGTAACGGCAATCCTGGGCCAAAATGCTTCCCAGGGGAACAACGATTTAAGTGGTAAA